AATGTTCATATATCCCAATGATTAAAACAGTATTCTCTGTTGACCACCAATTATTATAATTTTGTTTCCTTTATGTATATGTGTTTGATTTCAAGTGTGCCTTGTAAGAAAAGTGAATAAGAGTATTTCTCCCAGAATGCAAAAATGTTGAACAATATTGAAATTTCAAACTGGATGAATGGGGTTCTTATTGTCTATTGCTTCTATTGCTACTAAGGACACTTGTTCTTGTTTGAGGAATGAAACTAAATATGCATAAATTGTCTTTTTTTCCCAATTAAATTTTCGTTTTTTGTACTCACACTTTCGTAATGCAAATGTTTGGTGGAGAATTCAATCAAAAAGCCTCCAGCTTAAGAATATTGAATCTGTTAATCCAGGATATACAGGGTATCTCAATTTTCTCTGCTATTTTTCTTCATTGTAAGAACTTTTCATTTCACTATTTCAGAAAAGTACTTTCAGAGGAACAAAACAATATTAATTCATACAACTCTTACTTGTTAAAAATTTATTATTTTCTTTAACCCATTTAAATTCAAGGATCAGATATAATGGAGAAACATCAGAGTAAGTTGGTAGTGAGTGAAAGTATTCTGAGGTGTTTATGAAGCCTGTTTTCAGATAAATAGAGAAATCATCCATTTTTCTCTGACAGTGAATCTGTTTTGCACTGCATGGCATGAGGCCAAACTATAAAATGATGTTTTAATGTTGTAAGCTAGATCAAAGAAACACCTTAATGATGTTTGGTCCTGCCTGAATATTAAGAGATAGCTTTGAAGACTCACACAATATGTTTTACAATCTGATGATTGCTTATATTTCCTCATTAAAATGGAGCAAAAGTTCTTTCAATGGTTTATGCTAAGCCTATAGGTATGAGTGTTTTTACTACCAAATAGTCATCATCCAAGTCTTGTAATTAACTACATAGCTTATGATTAGAACATTAAAGTTTAAACTAGTATCATATAGGGAACAGCACTATTTTTGAGTACAGAACATTTAAAAGTTGAGAAGAAACAGAAAATAATGAATAAAGTATCTTTATAGCTAGGAATTTTTAAAATTGAAATAATAAAACAAGGTTACTCCATTCATCAGGGACAATGTAAACCATTACCTGTTAAGAAAAAAATATTCCTCTTCTTTAGTGTATATTAAATGAATATAGGTTGATGTGCAAGGAAAATGAACTAGGGATTGTGGAAGTCTTCAAGGACGTTTCACTCTCCAGTTTCCACTCTCTTGGTAGTGTTTACTATGCTAAAGGCTCTCTATTTTTAAATAAGTCATGTCTTTTCCTTGTTTTCTGAAGTGATTTTATTGGAAAAAATTAAAATACTGAATTTATTGTTTATTATGATTTAAAAAAAACAAGGAAGTAGTTTACAGAAATAAATGTTCATTTATAAAAATATATAAAGGGCTGAATGTTCTGTCTGATATGCGGATGCTAGCTTACAATTGGAGGTGGGAGAAATAGAATTACTTTGGATTAGACAAAGGGGAATGAGGGGAAGGGAGGAGAATGGGAATAGGAAAGATAGTGAAATGAATTGGACATTACTTTCCTATGTACATATATGAATATACAAACACTGTAATTCCACATTGTGTACAACCAGAAGAATGGGATGTTATACTCTATATATGTATAATATGTCAAAACACATTCTACTGTCATGTATAACTAATAAGAATAAATAAAGAAATAAAAACATATAAAGATAAACTCTGTTTTCAAGAATACTCTAATGCAATAGATCTCGAAATATGGACTCATATAAGCAGCATTTGTATAACCTTAACACTTAGTAAAACACAAATTCTCACGCCCCAACCTGGATCTGAACTAGAAACTCTGAGGGTGGGGCCCATCAATAAAACAGAATAAACCCTCCAGGTAATACTGATACACACTAAAGTTTGAAAATAACTGTTCCAATCTAGTCTACTAAGATTTAAATTTTGGGTGGTTTGTAAAATATGATGGGACCTTTTGTATTACAAGTTCAACTTTGTTTAATTTTCGTAGGAAATATTTGCAAGGAGACCTAGAGGGAGCTATATTTCTGGGGCTTAAATGTCACATGTGCACAGATGAAAACTTCTGAAATAAAGCTATGAAATTTGACTATGTCATGGGGAAAGATGGCATCAGTTGTCTATACTTCCAGATGGATGGTTGAAAGCAGCAGAAGCTGGTGAAGGCAGCAACTCTCCCCAAAACAATTTGATTATTCCTTCAGTCCGAACTATAAAATAAAACCTCAAAATACAGTCATAAATACACTACATGCCTTATTCTGTAGGAGAGGTTTACTTCTTTTCTTGTTGTTCTTATACAGAGAAGAGAGAAAAAGAAGAAATGTGAATGGCATTTCTAAATATACCTATGTACTTTGAGACATGAAAAAATGTGTGGACTTATGAATCTTGTCCATTCCCTGAAATCTGTGGAAGAGCTCAAACTCCTTTCCCTTAATCAATACATTAAAAGCAACTGAAGGACAAGAAATGCTTCTGCTTTTTCTTTCCTTTCCCTCTGTATTATTCTATTCCTAGGGCAATTTAGTAGGTAGTCAATACATTTTTTTTTGATAACTAAAATAATGAATGCTATGGATGCTCTGAAGATATGGTAGACACTCTGGAGTAAGGAAAATGTAAAAATAATGTAGGTTTTCTTTTCTTTTTAATTTTTTTGTGGTGCTAGGGATTGAACCCTGGACTTTGCACATGCTAGAAAACTATTACTAAAGTAAGTTCCTAGCCCATGTAGGTTCCTAAAATTCCTAATAGATACAAGACTCCTAAGGGAGACACCAACTAAAGATTAAAATGAATAAAGCCAATCTGATACATGTCATCTGGCCAAATAATTGTACCTGCCTGACATTTTTCTAGGCTCCCAGAAGGAGCAATGGCTTCAGTCACTTTATATACTGTTCTATACATGGAACAAGAAATATATACAACTTTCAGGCCTTTAAAAAATCTAATGAATTCAATCATATTGTGATGTATTTGAGAATCTCATTGTATATATCCAAAAGTTAAACAACCTAAATATTTTATTTCTATATCCTTTGAGTCTCTTTGAACCTGATGATTAGAAAATTTAGTCCAACCTGCTTACACCAAATGTGAATTTACTAATTCTTGTATGAAAATAGCCAGATGTAGAACTTGTTTCAGCCATAACAACATTCAGAGCTCAACAATCTTCATCTGGGCTTTTCTTTCTTTCCAACAGCCAGGTCTGCCTTCCTCTAACATTGGCTTCGTTTTCTGACTTCACATGGTACACAGAAGGTCTAAGCTCAGATCTTCCCTGTGCAAAGTCCAGAGAAGTCCACTTGTTTAAAGAAGGCAAAAACTTCCCCCAGAATGATGCCCTTTTGTCTTTGGTCTCCCATTCTTGATCACACACCAATCCCAGTGGCAGGAAGACATAACACTACCACTGGCCACACCTGAGTTAGTATCTGCTCTGACCCAACAAGTCAGAGCAGATACTAACATCACCTGAAGCAAATGGGTTGCCGAGTGGGACAATGGTTGCATCCTCCAAAATAAATTTCTATAGAAGATTGAGCACTGGGAAATAAATGCACAAAGGTCCACAACAAGTTATCATTAGTAGATGCTCCACAACAAGTTATCATTAGTAGATGCCACTAACTATGACTTTCACATGTTGTATTGGTGGGGTCAAGTGAGATTTTAAAGAAATCATTAGATTTAGGCTCCTAATCAAACTATAGTTTTGGAGAAAATAACTTGAATCCAAAATGTCATCTACAAAATATCATCTCATTTGTTGGCCCCCCACTTGTCTTCAGGGACTGGTTAGAAATGACAAGCAGAGCAAACTCTGAGTTTGCAACCATGCAGCAGCCCCACCGTGCTGCCCTGTCCAATGCCAATGACAGAAGCGCGACCAGTGGGGATCATACTGGTGCGCCCTTATCTTCCGCTACCGCCTAGGGGCCCGCATCCGTTTCCCTGGCTGCACAACCCGGCTCATCCTAGGCTGCTTTCATCAATCCTTCTGGAGGGGCGTTCAGAACGGGCAGCCTAAAGAGGGACAGCAAGGTCTCCAGGAGGCCAGAGAAGCCAGATAAGCGGGGCCACCCTGGTGGGTGGGTAGCTGGCAGATGGAGGAGGCTCGCGTCCGGGGTTCCCGCCTCCGCCCCTTCCCCCGCGGGTGCGCGCCGGCTGGGAGCTGGGAGGCGGCGGCGGCGCCCGCCGCGGGAGGCGGCGTGAGAGCTGCGGCGGTGGCGGTGTGGCCGGGTGGGTCTTGGAGACACGGTTTGCATCCAAGAGAGTACAGGAGTACCCAGCACGACCCCTGCGCTGGCCTCGCAGCCACTCCCCGAAAGGCGCTGCCCGCGCTGACCACCCAGTCGCGTCTCCTATCGGCTGGGTTGGCAGGGACGCCGGGAGGACAGGGTCTTTCCTGTTGGACTGGAGTACAGCTCCGCCGGTATACAGCAGGGCAGCCTCCGGGAGCCGCGGAGGCCGAGAACCCGGGAAGGAAGATGCCTGCAGATCGCTGCAGCCCGAGGTAATCACGATGGATGACCGGACAGGTCCTCGCCTAAAAACCGAACCGGGCGAGTTGAAATGCGGACTCCAGAGGTGGCACCGCGATCAGAACAAGTTTCTTGGGGTTTGAAATGAAAGTGTCTTGAAATTGACACTCGTTTTGATTATCAGCCTTTACTGTGCTGTTTTAAATAAGTTTATTTAAACAATAAAAAAAAATAGTTTCATGAGAGACTGTGGGCTTGTAAATATAATCGTAAAAGTTTTGCATGTTGTGGTTATTTGCTTATGCATATTTATTAACGTGTTAACTCTCCCACTAGTCAGAAAATTGACATTTAAAATATTCTTTGAGGAACATTACAAGTTCGTTGTTGCGTGCAGACATTGTGTTATTTATCAGCTTAGTTAGCATCTGTCTTCCTGAAGTAGTACCAAAGCCGGGTCCCTTGACGATGGGTCTTGCATGTGACACTCTTGCCCTCTAGTGCCTCACCAGCTTGGTAGCAGTTTGATGGCAAATATTAATAAGATGTTACATAACAAGGATTTTGGGCCAGGATTGGTATTGCTGCCACTTGTAAAGCCAAAAATTCTGAGCCGATGGTAACAGATGCTGTTTCGGGTTATTGTATGTCTATTGAAACTTTCTCCAACATTTTGAACTCTTTGAATTTTAATTCCAGGTAAGGATATCTGTTTACTTACACTATATATTAATGGCTTTACTCATAAGTGTAGGGGCTGTTAGTAACAGATAACAACTTTGTTTTCAGTTAATTAAGAATTTCAGGATTAAACAAGTGACTCATTTTATTCTTTAAGAAGTAGAGCATTTTGGTTAAGTTAGCTAACAATCTAAAATTGTCCTGTAGTACATTTGTTAAACAGATGACATGTCTTTTGTCTCTGTAGAATTTTGGGAGTGATATCAAAAATTTAAACTATAGCTATTTGTTTATCTATACAGTAATGGTACTCAGCAAAGCTTTGTATTTAATGCAGTTTATTTTATAACCATTTTTAAGATTATATGAGTAAAAAATTAAATGTAGCTGGAAAGATTGAGTAACCATAAGTATTGAATGTACAGCTTTAAGTTAAAGAAAATAGGTATATCTCCTATTTAATATAGCCAGTTTGGGGGAGGGGTTGGGGAAGAATTAAAATACTTTCCTTAAAGGGTTTAACCACATAGTCTTTCATATATCTGGGCACAGTTTTCGCCTCAAAGTTATTTAAAGTTAAAATTTTATATGTACTTTTATAAAAAATATTTGGATATAGCAACATATATAATCTGAAGTTTTGAGTAAAACAATTCAAAGCAATATAAATGTCTATTTTTCTAATATTTAGTAAGATAGAAATGAAATATTGAGTTGTGTGAAACTGACCTCAAATTTCTTCTTTTTTTTTTCCTTTTGCTCTTAGAAAATATCATGTTATCAAGTATTGAACAGTTACTCATCACGAGAGAGCAGAAAGATGAAAGGAAAACTGATATTTAGCTGAAGGGATTTTTTCCCCTCTTGCTTCAGCCATATCAATTTTGTATTTGAGAAGGAAGTTTCAATAATATATTTGAATGAGACTTTTTAAAAATAAGTACTGAACATAATAAGAGATTGCCCTAGCAAAGGTCTTTTATTTTCTTCATTCTCTAGTTAACACAGTTTCTATCATTTCTGCAATATAGTTATTGTTTTCTTTATTATCTTGATTGTAAAACAGAAGGCTTGTGTCTTTGTGTAAGTGAGAAATGTGAACTGTTATATGAGCTAATATTTTTCTTCATAGTCTTTAGAATGAAGGTTTCTCAGGTTACTAAAATGTTTCTGATAACAAAAACTTTTATCTGTTTCTGAAGAGATTTGGTATAGTTTAATTTGGTTGAGTAATAGTGTACTTTCTCCTTTAATATATTTTCTTGAGCAAAATGTTTATTTCCAAAGTTATAACAAATATTCATTTTTGGTATACCTGAAATATCTATTGAGAAGAAGAGATAACAAGATATTTGATTTTTTTTTTTCTGGATTATACCTTCTGATGAAAAATTACTATGAGTCACAATCTAAATATTAAATGCTTGACTTATCATTTCAAAGTTTTAAAATTATAAAGAGGTGATAATATGTTCTTTTAGTTCTGGGAGTCTGATTAGATGTCTTCTTTGAAAATTGGTTGAGTCTTAGCTGCTTTTTGCTTATTAGGGCCAACTTGTAAACTTCCATGTGCATTGTTGAGATACAAAGTATAAACAACGAAAACTATATGTGAATAAATACTTTGTGATTTTTATGTACTTATAAAAAGAGGGAAGTAGAATTACCAATAAAAGCAGTATTCTAAATTACATGAATGCCTTGAATATCTAATAGCTTAACAGTTAGACAATGGGGGAAAGCAGTAGAACTTTACTTCCCCATGTGGTGATAAGCATTCACATTGAAACCTGAGAACATAATCAGATGAAGAGATGCCACCAGGCTACAAAAGTAGCAGCCTGCAATATAATGATAATTAGTTTGAACAATACTTGAAATTATTTTATGACTGAAATTCCTCTTAGAACTGTAGTGAAAAATTGATTTTAGAGTCTGTTGGTTTGTCTGGTTTTAATAAAACATATATCCTTGGGTACCTGGATATCACAATGAGTGATTTATCCCTTATTGTTACTCTATAAACACTTTCATAAATTTCACGTAAATTACATGACTAAAAAAAGAAAAAGAAGTTCAATCCTACTACAAATAATGCCTAAAGTACATCATTTCATATAATCTCTTACGAATAACTTAAGGCTGTAACTCTTTAGTACCTATTGCTAAATAAAAGCTTAAATATCAAGTATTGTAGTTCTGTTCTACAATTCTTAATCATGTCAACAATACCCATCCATTTTACATATACTTCAATCTTTAATCTTTTTTTTAATGGTGTTTGAAAATAACATGAAAATAGACTGTATTCTAGGCCTGGCTCTACCATGAGAGAGAGTGTTTTTGAACAGCCCCCTTGTGGGTCATGGGCCTTGGTTACCTCACCTGTAGAATGAATATATGAAAGACTCTTTCCTTTCTGTTTCTTGTCTAAAACTATAGAAACTGATATTGATAATAGCACAAATACATATGAAGAAGCATTATAGAATAATACAAAATTTAACTTGTTGATGAATGCTTTGTTGAGGTTTTTACTAGTAGAGATGTAGGCTGTTAAAGTAAGTTAACATTTGAAGAATATTTACATTGTGCAAGCTCATCTAGTCTTAACAAAGATGATTTGAGTTAAATAGTATTCCCATTTCAAAAATGAGGAAAGTGAGACAATGAGTGATTACTTACCTGTATAAGATTACATCCTTAGCAAGTTGTGGAGCTGATATCCAATCTTGAGTCTGGCTTCAAATGAACATGTCTTTTATCACTATATTACATTTTCTCTCAAATATTCATGCTTGATTTGCTTCTTAATATAATATAAGGAATCCATGCACCACTCTGAGCATTTTTGCAACTTCTATCCCTGCATTTGAAATAATCATCCATTCCTTCTGGAGGTATTTAATAAACACCTACTTTTGTGATAGTCATGAAAAAAGCAGTGCCCAGGACCATTAAATGTGGTGTCTTCTCTAATGAAATATATATGTCTTGTTTTGATTATTTATTTCTCTTTTCTTGTTACCCCAACTGGTGTGAGTGTCACTTTTCTAAAAGATGCCCAAAGAAACAGGAATTTTAAAATTGAACTTTTTCATTGATGCACTCATGGAATAAGAGGATTAGAATCAGGAACTATAATTTCCTCAGGACTCCTATCAAATTTCTGCATTGTTATTTTTTTCTACCTTTTTTTGTGTCATCATCTTTGTGAAGATTGACTGCTTTCCTTTCTGTAGTTTATGTAATCTGTCTGATCTCAAAATTTACATCTTATGGACCAGGTGGTTGCTTCACAATTATGTTGAAGGACAAAGATGTTAAGAGATAGATTAGATCCTTAAAACCGCATTGGCATTGCCCTGGTATTAAGCGTGCCTTTTCTAATTCAGTCTAAAAGGGAATAAGCAGACATTTTCCCCCTTAAGTCATACAGGCAGAACAAAAAGCAAATAGCAGTGGAATAGTTTTCTTCTTTTGCCTCACATCATAGCATAACACTGAGGGAGGTGAACAAAATGTATTCTTTCATTTATAATTTCTAAATACAAAGAGGGAGTGAACATTACAGTAGTCATTTTCCATTTAATGTACCTAACAAAGCTAATGCCCCCATGTGCAGCTTTTCTTCCATCCATCTTTCAAAATTCCTAGTTCTAAAGACAGAGTATATTCTTGGTTTTACTCCATGCAAATGAGTTTCTTACTTGCCTACCACAGCAGGGTTCAATTAACATGACACAATTTCACACATTCTTTCCCAAAGAAAAACATGTTCTTTGTCAATTTTTAATATTACTAAATTACTTTTAGCAAATTCATGTAATGCATTTGAAGCCTCCAAATGTATTTTTCAATGCTATAAAATATTGCTAATTTTGAGGAATACTGTCAAGATCTTTTAAATATCTTTCATTTATGTTAGAACCTGAAGTTCTTTAGTTATTAATACTCATTTTCCAGATGGTAATCGTTTTTCACATTTCTTGTACTGCCAACTTTAACATGATTCTATTTCATTTAGAAATTGATTTTTACTCTGGGATGATGGTGGGTGTTAGTGAAAGAGAAAAGATAGGTTACATTGACAAGTAGGTAATTCCTCTTGTGGTTACTGCAATACTTTACAAAATGTATATTTGTATATATTCAGATCTTCACTATGTATATGGAATATTCTGTGATTCCTCTCCAAATTAATTGTTACTTCTGCATTTTATTAATGATAAATTATTAAATATTTGCTAATGTTTTCTTGATGGAATGTTTTTAAAAACAGTTACACTGCAAAGCAACACTAGTCACACTGAAATCTGAAAAAATCTAAGAATGAGAAAATCAGATATTTGAGTAAGATTCAATGAAAGATACATCCTGGATGTGCCTGATTTATGGCTCTGGTCAAGATGGTCAGTGCTATTCACAATGTTTATATTATTGCCTTGAGTGTTTGAGTCCAATATGATTGATGGAGGTCCTCATTCATGAAGGATGGTTTGACTTGAATATTGCCCTGGTTTGTGAATGCAACTGCTATTTATACAATTTGGTAGAGGACTTTATTTTACTCATTTCTATAAGTTTTCAAAGAGAATGCATTCTTAAATGAAGCACTGTGTTATACATTAAAAATAAAGAAGATTTTACAGATGCTTCCAGTATGTGGAGAAAGATTATGCAGAATATCACATGTTGGTGAAGTACGCTACAGAGGTACAGGGTGGTGTGAGTGTTTAACAGGGAGGTTTTACAGGTCTAGGGGAACAGGGAAGACTTGTGAGGTAAGGGCATTTACACTTGGAACCATAGGATTTACAGGATGCGTTCAGATGAAGAAATAAAGTAAATCATTTTTAGACAAATGTGACAGCATGTGAGAATCACTGAGATAGAAAAGAGATTGGACCTTTTTAAGGAACTGAAAGAAGACACACTTGCCTGAAATGTGCAAGAGGAGTATGCCATCTAATCAGGTCTGAAGGGTAAAAATGGGAAGAATACCACATAGTGTCTCA